AGCAGAAGTGGAAAAGCAACTGACAGATGCAACGCAAGAAGGGGACCCAGGGGCCCTCGGGCCCCGGGGCCCCGGGGGGCCCCTGGGGGCCCCGGGGGGCCCCAGGAACCCCCGAGCAGCAAAAGGGGCCCCCCAGAAGCCCGCTCACCAGACGCTGCTCTTCTTAGTGGAGATGTCCGGCAGCAGCGCGTTGGCCCTGTGGAGTGTGGGGTTGAGGGCCTCGTTTGCTGCTGCTGCGTCTGCGCTGTCGAGCACGTCCAGTGGACCACCCGGGGGGCCCCCAGAGCCTCTGGGGGGGCCCCCCACAGAGCCAATGGTCGGGGGAATGTAACCACTGGACATGGCGGGGGCTGCGGGTCTCAGGCGAAACTCCGCACTTAAGAAGTCCGCCCAGCTGACGCCGCCTGCACGCACGGCACACACACTCCAGGCCCTGCTGCTGCTGCTGCCGCTGCTGCTGCTGCTGCTGGGTGGGCTCGCGTGGTGGGGAGCTAGTGCATGCAGCTGGCGAGAGACTTACTTCTGTGCAGAGACCCGTCTGCGGCCTCGAGAGTGGCCCCCAGGAGCCGCATGCTCCCCACTTGCCACAGGGCCAGCTTGCTGAGGGGCCCCCTCGAGGGGCCCCTCGAGGGGGGCCCCCCCTCCGCCACTTCGGCCAGCCGCAGGGAGGCCCCCGCCTGGTGAACCCACTTTGCAGGGACACAGCGCACAGCATTTGGCGGCGGAGTCTCATTGCCTTTTGTGGCAACAATTCCCAAAGCCACGAAGAGGGAAGAGGGGGGCACTGGGGCCCACAGGGTGAGGGGGCCCCCGCCGCCGGGGGGCCCCGTGGGGCCCCCCGGGGGGCCCCCCGAGGGGCCCCCCGGCGCCGCCCCAGAACCCTCCGGAGGGTTCAGCAGCAGCATCGCCTGGGACACACTTTCCCGCCACAAAACTTTGTACTTGACGGGAAGAGGAAAGAGACAATCCAAAGCTCTTGAGAGCTCTGTGCTCTCGGCCATAGATGAGCAGCCAGAGTCTGTGGCCTCGAGAATGAGGGGGGCCCCCCCGCCGCCTGCTGCTGCTGCTGCTGCTGCTTGCTGCTGCGCCTTCGAGATGTCGCTGCCCAGGCAAATGAAATGGCCCAAAGGCACTCGCTCTCTGTTGCGGCGCATCATGCCGCGGTGCCTGCCTTCCAGCTGCTTGGGGGCCCAAATCGAAAACACTGCGCTCCCGCTGCTGCTGCTGCTGCTGCCGCTGCTGCTAATGCTGCTGCTGCTGATGCTGCTGCAGTTGGCGCACGGCAGCCGGCCCACCCAAATCCTGTCAAATGAAGTGTGCGGCTGCAGCCGGAACTTGAGTCGACCCACCAGCTCTGCAGGCAGCGTTTCTTTGACTCCCCACTGCTGCAGCAGCGACTGCTGATTTGCTGCTGCAGTTGAGGCGTCCCCGGAGAGCGCAGCAGCAGCAGCAGCTGCTGCTGCCGCAGCGCATGCGCCGTCGTCGAACGACTCGCTGCGCTGCTGCCGGTGCTGCAGGTCCGCCGGCGCGCCGGCGGCTTGAGCTGCAGCGCCGGCGTCTGCTGCAGCAGCGTCGCTGTTTGCTGCTGCAGCAGCAGCTGCTGCTGCTGCTTCCCCCCCTATCTGCCCCACGGTGAGCAGGAAGTCGTTGAGGCTGATGAAGCCGTCGCCGTCAATGTCGAAGTGCCTGCAGACGTGGGTCTGCTGCTGCTGCTGCAGCTGCAGCCCCAGCCACTTCATGCCAGCAGCAAGCTGTGCCTCAGTCAGCTGCCCCCGATTAAGAACATCAAACAACCTAAAAGCTTCTGAGGGCAGTAGTCGCTTCTTCCTGAGGCGCTCCCGCAGCCGCGCAACGAGGGCCCTGTGCTGCAGCAGCTGGGGGCCCCCCTCTGCTGCTGCCAGCAGCCGGGCCACTGGCTGCTGCTCCCAGTTGACGTTTTGCTGCCGCCGCCTGCAGCGGCGAATCGAGAAAAAGAAGTCCTGCCGGTCCTTGCAAGGCACTGCAGCAAGAACCCCCTGCAGCAGCAGCAGCTGCGGCTCGGAGTACAGCAAGCTGCTGTCGATAAAGCGCAGGCACGCGAGCGCCGTTTGCTGCTGCAGTCCTGCTGCAGCAGCAACTTTCTCCTCCCGCCGGTGAAACAGCGGAGATCCATCCACCATGGCGAAGCTGGCAGTCACATTGTGCAGACACACAGCAACGCGGTGCCCCGTCACCAGAGACTGCAGCTCCTGGTGCTGCTGCTGCTGCTGCTGCTGCCGCTGCCGCTGCCGCGCATGCAGCGCAGCGCGAACAGCCTCGCCCTCTGCAAGAGTTAAAACCACAAAATAGCGGCCTCGCTGCTCAGCACAGAAGGGCGACTTCCCAAGTGCTGCTGCCAATTCCGCCAAAGTGAAGTGCAGCTCTTCCTGCTGCTGCTGCTGCTGCTGCGGGGATAGGGGCTGCTGCTGCTGCTGCGGGGATAATGGCTGCTGCTGCGGTATTTGCAGTGAGAATGCTGGGGCTGCAGATGCCTCTCGTGCCGCGGGGGGAAAGGACGAGGAAGACAGCAGGCTGCGCTGCTGCTGCTGCTGCTGCTGCTGCTGGAAGGGCGCAGCGGGCATTTCAAAGAGGCCTAACAAGTCGCTTGGCTCCTTTGAGCTGCGGGACGAAGAAGGGACAAAAGGAAGAGAGGCAGCAGAATCTGTGGCCTTGCTGCTGCTGCTGTCTCTTGTTTGCGAGAGAGACACAAATAAATCGGCTAGAGGATCAGCGGCCTGCTGCTGCTGCTGCTGCTGCTGATTTGAGGGCTGCTGCTCCTGCAGCAGCAGCAGCAGCAGCAACGGGGTCGGCAGACGCTGCGGGTGCAGCAGCTGCAGCACGAGCAGCAGTCACCGGAGTGGCTGCAGCACCGACAGCAGCACGTGCAGCAGCACTACGGGCAGCAGCAGCAGCACGAGCAGCAGCAGCTATGTGCAGCAGCAGCTCAAGCCGCAGCAGCAGTTCGCAGCAGCGCCGTACCTGCTCCTCTTCTTGTTGCTGCTGTTCCTCCCCCTCAATTTCAGCTTCAAGGCCCTCCATCCTTAGAGCATCTCCATCAATGTCTCTGCTGTCTCCTTTTGCTGCGTGTCTTCTTGCTGCTGCTTCTTCTTCCTGCAGCTCTGAGATCAGCTTGTCAATGAGGGCTTTGCCCGCGAGCATCGGGGCAGCTTGCGCTGAAGAAGCAGCAGCAGCAGCAGCTGCTGCTGCTGCTGGGGGTGTTTTGGCGGCGCGCGCTCGAGGCGTTGCTGCTGCTGCTGCTGCTTCGGGCGCCTGCAGCAAGTCGGCGTGCTGCAGCGCGAGCTGCCGAATTCTGAAGCTGAGGGGCAGCGACAGAGGGACAGAAGAAGGCAAAGAGAAGTCTAGAGACTCGAGGAAGACCCCAAGAGCTTGCTGCGTCTGTGGGGCTGCAGCTTCAGTCCCAAGAGATGCATGCGTTTCCTTCAGAATGGTCAGAGCTGCTTTTCTCCATACATTGCATGCGCTCTGCATGCACAGCAGCCGCTGCTGCAGACACTCCTGGGCGATTTGCCGCGAGACCAGCCAGCCGCAAATCTCGCCCAGCAAGGAGCAGCCGGGGGCCAGCTGCTGCTGCGGCTGCTGCAGCAGCAGCTGCTGCTGCTGCTGCGGCGGCGGCGGCGGCGGGAACAGCGGGACCGAAGGCAACGTGGCCCCCACTAGACTCGCGTGCTTCTCTATCAAAGCAGCAACTCCAGGGGGAATTAAATAATGCAAAGTTTGTCCCCTTCCAAGTCCCCGCATGCGAAAAGCCCCCTGGGCCACATCTCGAAAAGTGCAGTCTTTGCCCACGGTCAAAAACGCCCTGCCGTCCGCCGCCTGCCGTATGTCCTGCGAACGCAGCAGCAGCAGCAGCAGCAGCGGGCCGCATCAGCAAGCAGCAGCAGTTACAGCACGCAGGAGCAACAAGTAGCAGCAGCAAGCAACACACAGCAGCAGCACGCAACACACAGCAGCACAACGCAGCAGCAGCAAGCAGCAGCAGCACAACCCAACAGCAGCAGCAGCAGCAGCACAACACAACACAGCAACCGCAGCAGCAGCACAACCCAACAACAGCAGCAGCAGCACAACAAAGCAGCAGCAGCAGCACAACACAACACAGCAGGAGAAGCAGCAGCACAACCCAACAATAGCAGCAGCAGCACAGCACAGCAGCAGCAGCAGCCCAACCCAACAGCAGCAGCACAGCCCAACCCAGCAGCCGCAGCAGCAGGCCACCCGAACAGCAGCAGAAGCAGCCCAGCCCAACAGCAGCACAGCCCACCCCAACAGCCGCAGCACCAGCCCACCCCAACAGCCGCAGCAGCAGCCCACGCGAACAGCAGCAGCGCAGCCCACCCGAACAGCAGCAGCGCAGCCCACCCCAGCAGCAGCAGCAGCAGCAGCAGCAGGAGGCTTGCCTGTCCCGTGGTGTGGACGTGGTCGTAGAAGGAGAAGCGCTTGTCGACGGCGATGCCGCACTGGGCGAGCTGGAGAATTTGGCCGCCGTTTCTGCAGAGGACCATTTGGCGGTCTTTGCTGTCGAGGAAGACAACGCCCTCGTGCGGCAGCCCGTGCTGCAGCAGCGCGCGGGCCACCTGCAAGTTGCTGAGGCCCGAGACGAGGGCCCCCGCGTCCACGAGCGCATGCACGGGGGGCTGCTGCTGCGCCGCCACGCGCTGCAGCAGCGAGGCCACGGTCCAGTCCGTGGGCAGCACTTCCAGAGTCACCACGGCGGGCGAGCTCAGCAGCAGCAGCAGCTGCCCGTCGGTGCCAGCCTCGTAGCAGCAGCAGCCCATTTCTGCTGGCAGCAACTCCGAGGGCGTCCCCGAGAAGCCCAGACGCACTCCGAAGAGGCTGTCGCCCCCCAGCTCTTGGCCAGAGGCCGACAGCTGGAAACCAGAGTGTTCAAGAACTGATGGCATTACTTTTCGAAACAAAAATGCTGCTATGGCCAGCGGCTCCTTCCGCAGCAGCCTGTACACGCACTCCAGGTGCTCCCGGTCCGTCAGACTCACCATCTCCAGCGGGTACATCTTCTCGAACTCCTCCCCCAGCCCCGCCTCCCCGCCCCCTGCTGCTGCTGCTGCTGCAGCAGCAGCAGCGGCTGCACTGCCCGCCAGCGACTCGCTGGGCCGTCGGGCCTCCCCTCCGCCTCCCCCCGCGTCCCCGCCGATCTCTCCAATCCCCTCAAAAGGGTCCGCTCGCTCCCAGCCCAGCCCCTGCTGCTGCTGC